AGTACAGTAATTCTACATAAGGCAATTGGGGATTTCCTAATCCAGAGCACAATCTAATAGCTACTATTACTCATACCTACTACTCAGAACAACACTACTCAAAGCTAGCAGCTTTAGTACTTCTGTTGACTTATACTCACCAATTTAGCTATCTACTTTAACAGACATGATACTCAGTGCCCTTAATTTAATTAGTTCAAAAGGTGGAGAATGTGTAAGAAGTTCACATGTTACAGCAGAAACACAGTCTCCCTGTCAAAACTGTTGATGAAGTGTTTTATATACTAGTGTGTACAAAATTGTAGTACTAAACAGTCTTTTGTAACCCTTTAAGACAGTGAATTTTCTTGTGACTCCTTCTTGATATAGTAATATACAGGTTAAGTACTGGCTGGACAACAACAATGCTTGAATACTTTTACTATCTGAATGTACCAGAAGTGTAACTATTAGAGGCAGCAGTTTTATAGTCTATTTTACTACCTGCTTATACTAAATAGATTCAGAAAAATGGGAGAAGTCATATTTTCCTTTATGATCTAGACTTGCAGGAAGTTATCATATTGAATGGCTTACAACAATGTATTAATCTATGTTAATTTGAAATTAACTATAATAGTGTAAATGTGACTCTAATAAGTTGTTTGAGTAGTTTTAGTATTATGGCCATAATCTATTCAAGCAAGGATATTTAGGAATTGACTCTATTTGCTCTGAAACTGATTGAGAAGAAGGGAGTAAAGGCTGCAGCTGCAATCATGTTTCAATGCCTGCATAGTGCAACTTTGCTCAATTTTAGAAGGTGCATATAATACATTTAGGAGAATATTTAAAGGCAATTTTCAATAGTGAGGCTTCAATATGTGGCCTACCTTCATACTCTATCTATCTCAAGAGATGTCTGAATCTGACCTTGAGCTGACAGTAACGTATACCAAAGAAGATTTTGGAGATAAGTACATACAACACTACTTTCCAAGTAATAAAGATCACTTTGGCTGTCTAGTGTTACATATTGACCCATAAAAAAGGCCACGCACTCGATTCACTCATTGAAAAAATATCTATCTTTCATGTGCCAGTATTATGCAACTGGTAAGATTTATAGTCCTAGAATATACGACTGCAAATAGGTGTGCTAATCAGTTTGAGCCATATCAAAGCTACTATTAAGGGAGCATCGAATAAACGAGTCGAAGGAGAGGAACACAGAAATCAGTTATTTGCCCTCGATTCATTGGCAAGACAGTTTGGTAGGTTGCTTGTCTTATGCTTTCCTCACTGATGAACTCAGCCAACGCCTATGTATCTGTTAGATGATGAAGAAAGAGGACGGCCACCACATCGCTGTTAATTCTTTCGAGATTGCGTTGGCGACCATGGCGCAGAAGAACTTATTGAAGGTAACGCAAAGAAGAGGCGAGGAGAAGCGGTAGATCTTGTCGTTCCGTCACATTCTGTTATATTCATTCTGGTTGTTGCCTTGAGGCTAAGCGATTCAGCCGGGTGAAACTTGTACAGACAGGTATATCAATAAACCAAGATACGAGAGAATGGTCATGACGAGCGTAAAAGCCATCTGTGCAGCACCAGCCGTTTTTGGTCTATTCGACCTTTGGAAGTCTCTTCATGAGGTAAACTAATAGGATCGCTTGGTGTGTCTGGTGACGCGGCAATGGCAGCCGCAGACCAACATCAACGTAACGTCAAAAGTGCGAAGTGATAGACGTCAATCAGAGTCCGACTGTATTTGTAACTTTCTGTCCAGGTGTAGTCGTGCGAAAGAGTGAGTCAGCAGTTGTAAGAGAAAGAAATCGTTAAGGGCATTCAGAGTACAGTACATACATCTCGCATACACTCAGCCTGAGTCAAGACAGCGACAATACAAGTGCATCGCATTGTTCTCCAATTGGATCATTGACACGTTGTTACCCCCACTCCCCCCTGCCCTCGCCAGCGCATCCATCACCTATACCTACTACATACTGTAGAATAACCCTATACAACGCCCACAGCTTCAGCGTTTCTGTTAATTCTCAAACAATTGTTTGACTACCTACTTCGACAGTATGACACTTGACGTCCTTCATTTCATCGACTCGAAGGGTGGAAATGCAGAGGAAATCCGCGAATCACAACGGAAACGCGGTCTGCCCTTCGAAATCGTAGACGAGGTCATCCAAATGTATACGGACTGGGTGAAGAGTGCGTCCGTTTTCATTATATCTATAAATCAAGTAAATCCAACCGACACGTTCTATGCATGCAGTGGACTTTGAGGTCAATCAGACGAGCAAGGAGATTAACGCTGTACAGAAGAATATCGCAGCAAAGAAAAAAGTGTGGCACGTCGTGTAAATGGCATCAAAGTTATTCGAGCTAAATACATGCCTTATAGGCCAAAGAGAACGCAGACGAGCTTGTCGCGCAGAAAAAGGAACTAGATGCGTTGAAAGAGAAGCGTTTAAAGGAGGCGAAGGAGCACGAGACCGCTATGCGAGTGAAAGCGAGCACGATTGGAAATATCGTTGGGAAATCTGTACCAGTCAGTTTAACTGAGGCGAGCACGACTATTATAATACATTCATCTCTGCAGCTCTTAATTGTATAGCTAGGATGATAATGCAACTCTCCGGACATGGCATCCAGACGGCCCAAATGGTCAAGTAGCTCAGAAAACCGATATCATGCCTCATCACGAAGTCTTATTGCGATTGGACGCAATGGACTTAGAACGAGGTATATTTCCACAACTACACCTACCAAGTAAGCATGCATACACATCCTAATCAAGAAACTCAGGTGCCAAAATCGCGGGTCATCGTGGCTTCTTCCTCACAGGCGACGGAGTAGACCTTAACCAAGCACTCATTTCCTATGGACTTGACTTTCTCCGCAAAAAGGGTTACAAGAAGATCCAACCTCCTTTCTTCATGAACAAGGACCAAATGGGCAAGACCGCCCAGCTGGACCAATTCGATGAAGAATTATACAAGGTCACCGCGAGCGAAGACGACAAATATTTGATTGCGACGTCCGAACAACCGATATCCGCAATGTATGCAGACGAATGGTTCGAAGACCCGAAGGCGCAACTTCCCATTCGCTACGCGGGATATTCAACATGCTTCCGTAAAGAAGCTGGCGCGGCGGGACGAGACATGTGGGGTATCTTCCGTGTCCACCAGTTTGAGAAAGTTGAGCAATTTGTCATCACGGAACCTGAAAACAGCTGGGAGATGCTTGAATCGATGATCGAGGTCGCAGAGGCATTTTACCAGAGCCTTGGATTGCCTTACCGTGTTGTCGCTATCGTCTCGGGTGCTTTGAACTTGGCTGCGGCGCAGAAGTACGATCTCGAAGCGTGGTTCCCGTTCCAAGGCGCATACAAGGAGCTGGTCTCCTGTTCGAATTGTACAGATTATCGTAAGTATCATTCTTTCCCCCTTTTACTCTTGCTTCTTAATATCTATGAATTTCACTTACCTTCATGATCATTTACAGAGAGCCGACGCCTCGAAGTCCGCTGCGGTCTTAAAAAGCAAGACCAAACGCGTAAACTCTACGTACATATGCTAAACGGTACGCTGTGCGCAACCGAGCGCGCATTATGTTGTCTCGCGGAGAACTACCAGACTCCAGAGGTATGATTCCTTTCGCATCTTATTTTGGAACATAATCTTTAAAAAACGAACTTGTGCTTTTCTCCAGGGTCTGCGCGTTCCCGAAGCACTGCGACCATACATGGGTGGTCGAGGTTTCCTGCCATGGGTGAAAGAGCTACCAAAAGGGTTGCAGAAGAAGAAAGCATAGATATGTATATAAGTTTCATTCCTTGCCTAGGTTGTCTTCCTACCAAGTCCTCGGTTAAAGAAGCATACCAATAGAGTGTATTCTCTTGTATAACCCCGTGCAAATTCATAACGAGCTTACTGTCGTTCACTCATTGCATGACGTTCCACTAAGTCTAATGGTTCACAATTGTCTTTTTTCTTCCAGACACACACAAGTGGGCGTTGCTAGTATTAGTTGATGCTGAAACCGCGTTCAATTGCAAAAACGACGAAGAGAAAGAAGAAAATCAGAAAATATGCGACGGATAACAATACATGTAGACAGTCATTGCGCACACAGACGAAAGAAAACCTATGCAAAGATTGCAGATCGGACGGAAATGTAGAATGACCAATACGACAACAAAGACAGAAGAAAATACTATAACTATGCACAACTAAAGAAAGGGAAGGAAAGAAAGAAGAAAATCGTGAAGAAGGTAAAGGAAAAAATCCCCGAAGAAAGAAAGCAGAGCGACGCGTGAATAACAAGACAGGCTCGTGAAGCTCAACACTACATTAATTGAGCGTTCCTCGACACTTGGCTGAGCCACACAGACAGGGGATCTTTTCGTCCTCATGAGGGAAGTGATAATCTACACGAAAAAAAAGCCATAATGTCAGGATTGGAACACAATTTGTGCTGCAGACACGAACCATAAGTGATTTCGTCCCCGAGCTCGATATCCTGTTTCGCGTAGATGACGATCTTCTTCTCACCATTGATCGTGATAATCTTCGCGGTACAGTTTGGATCACAGGAGTGATTGATGAGACGTCTGTGAGCGTTAAGAAAAAGAAGTGATGATGATCAGTACCAAAGAACTGAGAAAGTAAGCGGGATGTATGGGAGGACGAGAACGTACCCAAGATTCCCTTTCTTCGTAGCATCCACAACGAGGTCCTCATCAATACGGAAGAGATAACTGCTTCCAATACCCTGCCGCTCGTACAACTTCTCCCTTCGGTCTGCGACACTCGCACGAACAATCTCGCCAACGTACTCAATAACCATCTCACCGCGACTGATGCGTTCCATAGCATATAAGCCCCAATCGTGAATCGGCGAACGAGCAAAGCGCAAGTTCTTCTTGCGTGTCTGTAACTGGTTGAACTTGGTCACCTCAGTCGCAGCATTCTCACCCTTTGATAGCGCGACGGCGAGTTGTAACTGGTTCATCTCTTCTAGACCCTGAGCACGGCGACGGGCATTCGCGCGATTTGAGCGGGAAGAAGTAACGTGTTGCTGTGGCGCAGGAGCCTCCTTCTGAGCAGGTACACCTGGCGCGGTACCACGCAAAGCATACTGTGCGACATACGCCGATTTCTCAGCGTGCGAGATCTTGTAATAACCTTCTGACCGCGCGGAGCCTGTGACGTGTTTGCGAAAGGGAGGAGGTGCGTTGGGATCCGAGGGTGGAGTGATTTCCTCTTGAACGTTGAAGTCTTCCCTATCAACGTCCGTAGACAGCGCAAGCATCGCAAGGAACAGGTCTTCGTCATCGTCTATGAGCTCATTCAGTGAAGACTCAGGCAAAGGACTATATCGTTTTGGCGACGGAAGCGGCTTCTCAATGACAGCAGAGGGCGGAGGGACAGGAGACGGGAGAACAGGCGCCCAGGTCGGTGAAGGGGAAACGCGCACTTCGGCTACAGCTGGTGCGTCCACCTCCATCTGCGGAGGAATGACTAATTCTTCTAAAACATTGCGATCTGCCTTCGTCTTCTTCGCGCGCTTTTGAGGCTTCTCTTCCTTCTCCTTTCCCGTCTTTTTCGCTTTCTTCGCCGGTGGCTTTCTAGTCTTGACGGGTGCTGTGACAGGTAGTGGTGGATGCGCCTCTGCCACTGTGATTGTGCCTTCGAAGTGGTCCTCTGCGATCTTGGTACGTTTCGCAGGAGGCTCGTCTACGGGTCTTGGTGACAGTGACCTCTTACGCTGCTCAGGAGAAACAATAGGCGGTTCAGGAGGTGGAACGTCCTCGACATGAGTAGGAACAGGAACAGGCTCAGGCTTGATATCGACCTCCTCATCCTCAGATTCCACTTCTCTCTCCTGTACAATCCGCTTCTCTGCTCGTTTCCGCCGTTTTCGGGGCCGTTCCTCCTTATCAGGCACTTGTGACGAATCATGAGCGTCATCGGCTAAAGTCACAGCAACAAGCGGCTCCTCGACCTTTGTTACCACGAGACCGACATCCACGGCGTAATCATCCATCGCAACAGAAGCGTCTTTATCCAAATCAGGCTCGGTTTCAAGTTGGGAAACAACAGCCTCTGGTTTCTGTTTCCTCTTCTTGAACGACAGTCCCTTGAGCCCTCGACGCTCTTTCTCAATATCGCCCTTTTCAAGCCGCGTGTCTTGCTGGCTTTCGAAGCCAGGTGTTTGCACCTTGTCCGTCTCTGGGTACTTTCCGCACCTATCTCTGTCTTCAGAGATCATCTTCCGTATCTGTGCGCTCACGATACGCTCCATAACGTCCTTCTCAAGTAACGTACGCAGCTCCGCCATCACAGACCTCCCAGCTTCGGCAACAATCTCCTCTGGTTTCCACGTCTTCCGGGAGTCCATACCCTTCTCGAGACTCGTGGGTGACAACTTCTTGACATCTCCGGGCAACGGTGCAGGATGTACCGAAACAGATACACTCCGATTTGCCAAAGTATGCGTGCCGATGGCAAGAACCCTAGCCGCACGTCCGGCGGCATCCGGCTTTCGAAAGGTAATATACCAACCCGTATGATCATGCAAGACCTGGACACAAAGAAGTTAACAATAGGCATCGGGGCAACAAGCAACAACGGAATGGCGTACCTCATCAACAGGGAATCCCTTGAAAAACTCACGAACATCGTCCTCCCGTGCCGCTCCCCCACTTAACTGAGCTTCATCAATCTTTGCGTGTCCAAAGCCATTCTTCACAAGTGCCTGCACGACCACTCTATGCCTCGCCTCTTGATCTGCATGGGATTGTCGCTCATCGGGCCGACGAGCAGCAAACGTAGGTGAAGGTGATCGTGATCCGCGCGGCGTACTCGTGGATGTATGCGTCGGCGTTCGTGAATGTGAATGTTGATGAACCAGACTAGGCACAAGGCCTCGTGGTCCCCCTCTGCCTCGCATCGCGTGAATGGGCGTCATAGGACGTGAGTCTGTATCGGGGGTCTGAGGTCCGTGCATGTTACTCGGCATGATCTGTGACACGGTTGACCGAGCAGCGTTCATCGCGCGTGCACGGACGAGCGACGGGGGTGGTTGACGGCGAGCATCTTGATTTGATCCATGAGGTCCGAGACGATTGGAATGGTGGAAACCTGGTCCGCGCGGAGGGAAATGGGAAGGACCAACCCGAGGAGGAAGGTTAGGTGAAACGTGGTTTAGAGGATTAATGGGGAGTGTGTGACCATGTTGATTGACAAGCGGACGTTGGTTGGGATGTTGGGATGGAAAGGGCCGTCGAGCCATAGCACCCGAGTGTTGATGACCTGGCATTGACGGAACCACTTGTCCATTTGCCGAAGGAGTCGAAGCGCTCAACCCGGGTTCACCACCTTGGGCTTGCAATCGTTCCCGCTCCTTTTCTCTCCTTCTTTTCTCCTCGTACAGTGTAACAACAAGCTTTAATAGCTTCCCTTCATCGTCAAACACCACCTTCACACAATCCTTCTCCGATCCCGTTGCCTTTGCACCCGCGAAGCTAACAGTCAGGCCTCCACCAATTGCTGCAAGAGTGAAATTCTTTCCCTCTTCGCCCTCGACAGCACGTTTCGCCTCCTCATGTGTTGCATACGTGATCGACGCAACACCCATTTGGCCGCCCGTCGCTCGGTCCAATTCACGCTCAAACGACATAATTGTGCCATATTTCTGAAAATGTTGTCGGATCTTGGCGGTCTGTGTGAGTTCTGGGAAACCAAAAACGAGGATGTTCGTTGGAGGCGCAGGTCCACACGAGTTGGAGTCATGCTTAAAGCAATCGGATTATTTAAATGAGGCACATACGGAAAAATAAGGCAAATCGAACGCACCTCGTAAGTAGTCGCATGAAATTCCGCCCTAATCCTCCCGCCTTTAAATCCTGGTTCCTTGCGCGGGTCGCTCGGGCGCGCATCCTGTTCACTTTCAATTGTCTCGCCATTGTACCGGTAAAACAGGACCTTCCCCTTCCCCTTATCCTTTATCCTATCTTCTGCACCAGCAGCACGAGCCTTATCCATGAGCACCTTCATTTCCCCAAATCGATCCTTATCACAGGAGGAATCAAACAGGAGTCGATAATCCGGGTCCGCAGCGGGAATGTATGTTGAACGGTCGGGCATGAGAGGTGGTGACTGGAGAGAATATCGCTTTTGCCGATGTTGGTGCCCAGGAACGCTTATATATTTGATAGTGACGCCATCCGGCAAAGGTGTGGGCGGGCACTCTGGTGAAGGTGGTCGAGCCGGTTGGGGTGGAACAGTCGGAGGACGAGGCTTCTCATGCTTTGACGATGGGGGAGACTTAGGGCGAAATTGTATGGAGATAGTTCGACGTGGATCTGCTGGAGGTAAGGGAGGAGGGGCAGATGAAGGTGGTTGGGGCTTGGAGTTCTCTGAAGATCCCGTTAGGACAGGCGGTAAGGGAGGAGGGGCTAATCGTGGTTCATGCGGTTGGGCAGAAGGAAACTTTATACTTATGGGTGAGCGGTTAGAGGGAACCTCCGCAGGAGGTGGGGGAGGCGGGCTTTTCGGAGGCGGAGGTGGCAGTGGAGGTGCATCACCGTTCGGTGGAGGAGGCGGAGGTGGAGAAGAGGACGGTGAGGGCGGACGCTTCGACTGTTGCTCTGGAGGCGGCCCTAGAGGCGGTGGTGGAGGTGTTTGTTTAGGAGGTGGAGGCGGAGACGTCGAAAGAGAAGACGATACGGGAGATTTGGACGATGTACCATTCAGCAATCGCTGGCGCAATGCACTCGGCCCAGTTGGCGGTTGGCTTCCATTTGTCCAGGGCGTCGTTGCAGGTGCTTTCCTCTTTGGTCCTGACGGAGGTGCACGGGTGAATCCAGCTGCATGTCCATTCAAATACGTCTTTGCTGCTGGCGCCGTAGGCGGCGCTCTCCCGCCAAGTCCATTCACCAGACTACGCGGACCCGTAGGCGGCGCAACGCCTGATCCCGAAGGCTGCCTACTTGACGAAGCGATCGGCTGGTGTCCGTGGTTGGACTGTGATGACCCCGCCGCGAATGGCGCCGATGCACGAAGTGCACGCGGACCTGTCGGTGGCTCCTTCCTTGACATAAAAGGTTGAGCAAAAGATTGCAGGAGATGGGTTGATTGCGTGAATTTTAATTTTAATTTTTGGTGAGATGAGCTCGGTGTGCGCCGCCACGGCCGCCCACACTTTTCCGCTCAAGAGCACTTGTCAACGGCGTTTACTCCACAACGTGGTCCTTGTTTGCCTTTGACGACAAAGGTGGTATAAAGGTTGACAAGTCAGAAACACTGGCAAGACAATTAATTATGAGACCGTGCTCGATTGTCGTCGTGCCCACTGTGACACGACCAGACGGGAGACAGCTGGACTCACCACGCAACCAACCAGTCAAAAAATCGCTCCGATGGCGGGTTACGAAGAGTAGACAAGGACGAAGGCACGGGTCGTAAAAGAAGAAAATTGATGTAGGCCTGTCCGACGATGCCTGCAGCAGGAGCGTGACAGGTCGCAACGACGACAGAGAAGACAATTCAACAATGCCACAGACTCTGATGCCTTTGCTTTCCTTCTTGCTTCAAAGGACGACGGATGCGATGAGAGTAAAAATTAAGGCGAGGAGTTGGCAGTAAGAGAAAAAAAAGGAAAATGAGGATTTTAGTTTGTCGTTGGCTTTGAGCGTGAAGGTGGAGGTTGACGTGACACGCGGCACGACAGTCTCGTAGTGGCTCGCACTTTGCAGCCAAAACTGTCGGCACGCTGCGACAATAGCAAAGGTGTCGCTGAGTGCGATAGAATGACGGCGAGCGGCAGGAAGAAGGGAGATGTGATGATGGTTGGAAGAGACACGGCTGGACGCGGGGACTGGGGACGCGGGCGTCTGTGTCGACTGCCTGTGCGTAGGAGAGCGTGCCAAATGAGGCTCAAACACATCTAACCCCGTCTTTTGACGCTCTCTCGTGCTCTCTGTTCTGATGTTCCCCCCTCGTACGTATTCCAGCTCACTTTCTTCTATTTCACATCCATAACACATGCACTTTGATATCCATTATGCCTACTATTCCATTCCCTCACACGTCCCTCATTCAGAACACCTTTAATTACTCACTCATCCCCCCTATCACTACGCGCACACTCCCACGACGAATGCCCGTCCAGTCAGTAAACCTAATAACGCGTGTAAAACGATGATGATGCGACAATTGTGTTGGAGAGGAATGTACCTACCATGTGCGCGAGGCAGTGACAGACCAACCTTCGCAAACAGTGACTTGCGCCATCAGACGGGACACGGTCTGAGACGAGCCACTACTTATACATATCAAGTGGTGACGACGAGGGACGAAATGAATGTCGCCAGTGCGTTCAGCAGACCTGTCCGTGTGACCATGATGCCTCGTCTCTTTAGTCATTGATGTCACACTCACGCTCGCCTTCTCCCGACTCGATGCGCGTCGCGTCACCGTGACCTCGGGCGGAACTCAATTCTCTGCTCGGATATGCATCCCGTTCTTGTCATATTGGCGAAGCACAACTACTTTACTACATTCGCCCCCGACGCATGGGAGCTCGTGCTCTTCTCTTCCCTCTCATCTTTTAACACAACGCTCATCTGCCATGCTTACGCGTGTCCAAGTGCATAGAGGTCCAGCGTTTAAACGGTACTTTGTCCGTGCCCTGTCGAGCAGAGCAAGCCGCGTGCTTGCCAACCTAGACTTGCCCACGTCCGACAGTGCAGAGCTGCCAGGTGTCTATGACGGAGTCTGGGGAGGCAGCGGTGACGTATTTGATAGCGTCTGTCCTACTACCGGCGAAACTCTCGCTCGAATCCGAACTGTACGCATTATCAATCCTCAGTTCAATGTTTTTAATCCAATTATCGCGGATAATCATTCAAGGCAAGTCCGAATGAAATGCAGACAGCACTGTCAAAGTCCCGAGAGGCATTTTTGTACTTCCGGAAAACACCCGCTCCCAAGAGGGGGGATATTCTGCGCCAGATTCGTGAAGCTCTCGCTCGAAAGGTTAGTATCAAACGTTATTATCTTCCGTTGAAGCACCTGACGAGATTGCAAAGTAGAGAAATGAACTCGGTGCACTCGTTTCCCTCGAAATGGGCAAAATCACGACTGAGGGCGAAGGCGAAGTCCAGGAGTTTATTGACATAGTTGGTCATTAGATAATCTATATCCGCTGATATTAATATGCTCGTAGTGCGACTATGCGGTCGGTTTGTCGAGGATGATGAACGGTAATGTTGTCAATTCAGAGCGACCTGGACACACAATCTTAGAAGGTATTTGATAATCTATTAACTTCTTGATTCCGCGTTAACGCGTAGCCAGTGCCAAATCCTCTCGGAGTTGTCACAGTACTCTCCGCATTCAACTTCCCTGTCGCCGTCTACGGCTGGTAATCGTCCACTTCTGTATTACTATTAAATTGCAGGAACCGACATTGACTTTCTCGCAGGAATCTTTCCCTTTCCATGGCAGCAGGGAATGCAACTCTTTGGAAACCTTCCCCGTCTACCCCGCTTTGTTCTATAGCTGTCACGAAGATCATTGCAAGTGTACTTGAACAGAACGGTATCCCTGGCGCCGTAGCTGGTCTAGTGACTGGAGGGAAAGACGTTGGTGAAGCCATCACTGAGAGCAGGGACGTCGACATGGGTAGGCTGTCTTTCAGGCTAAATAATTCTGATTAATGACTCTGATTAGTCTCGTTTACCGGGAGTGAGGAAACGGGCAAGAAGGTCGCGAAAGCCGTCCAGTCCCGCCATGGGAAAGTCCTTCTAGAACTTGGTGGAAATAATGGTATGGGCATTATTTATTCTAGCTTCATACGCTTACCTGTGTCTTTCTAATTCGTAGCTGCTATTGTGATGCCTGATGCAGACTTCTCGCTCGCCATCCCTGCCATTTTCTTTGGTGCAGTGGGCACAGCAGGCCAACGTTGCACCTCAACCCGACGACTATACCTCCATCGTTCCATTGCTTTACCTGTCCTCGAGAAACTCCAATCCCTCTACAGCACACTCCGCCCAGGTGATCCCCTGGCGCCGAATACTCTTCTTGGTCCCCTCCACACCCCAAGCGCGCTTTCAGTGTTCGACGCTGCCATCTCCGCTCACCGAAACGCAGGTGCCGAGATCCTCGTTGGCGGCTCACGCATAACCAACTTAAATACGCCTCTCGCAGGAGGGAACTTTGCCCAGCCCACAATCGTGCGTCCCATCTCCGCCGACCCACAAGCAAAGACCGAAAGTGGGAGACTGTGGCGTACAGAAACGTTTGCACCTATCTTGCAAGTTGGTGTGTTTGATGAATTGGAGGAAGCGATTGAGTGGAACAACTCTGTTCCGCAGGGGTTGTCGAGTAGCCTTTGGACAAGAGACGTACGTGCTGTTGGAAAGTGGATTGGACCGGAGGGGTCGGATGCCGGGATAGTTAATGTTAGTAATTCTCTACGTTTATTTTGCATTTTGGAAATTAAAATTCAACTATTTACTCTATTCTGCAGGTGAATGTCGGAACAAGCGGTGCAGAGATCGGAGCAGCGTTTGGTGGGAACAAGGTCTGACTCTTCATTCACCGTCACTTCTCTAACTGTCAGACCCACTCAATCATCAAATAGAGCACTGGCTGGGGCCGCGAATCAGGCGGTGACGCATGGAAACAGTACGTCCGATGGAGCGCTTGCACGATTAACTTCTCGGATGCTGCACCGCTTGCGCAAGGCGTTACGTTTGAGCCAGCGCCGTAATTGGTATTATTATCTCAAGATACCTTTGCATTTTTACCTCTGTACTTTTGACTGTGGAAGCAAAGAAGTAGGTGCGACCGCACAGGGTGCAACAATGACAGTCGGATTTGAAATCAAGGACCTTACTACATGTACGAGCCCGTTTTACTCATGTATAGTAAATAAACTCGTCAATATCACACAACGATATATTTGTATACTACAGAGCTGCAGCTGTGCAGGGCTACATGCAATGTAGTTTCAGCTATTTCTCCTGATCACCGTGCTTTTTCTTCCTCTTTAAAAACTTAAAGCTTGTATGGGATTTTCCCTCACCTGCTTGTTTACTCTGTCTCGTTCTTCTCTCACTCTCTTCTCAGCTTCCTCCTTCTCTTTAAGAGATAACTGAATTATTAAATACATAAGAATATAGCTACAAACCCCTTACCAAGTTCAGAGAGCTTTGACAGTAATGCTTGCAATGCTTTAATTGTAGATGGTTGTGGTTCTGTTAATGCTATAATCTTACCATCCTTCCCATTCTCTTTAACTGTGCAAAAATAGTGGTCAGAATACAGAGTAAAATTTATGTAAGACCAGGTTGTACCAATTGCAGAGTGATATCCTGGATATCCTTTTCCATCCATTGGATCCACTCTAACTGTAAAAGCACTAGATGGATATTCTTTATTTTCAAATTTTAAGACAGAGAAATTATTGAGTAACCAGAAGGAAGACAATGTAAGATAATTGTTATGGTTCTCTGCTCTTGTACCTTCAGTTCCAAGGGTTCTGCACCCTTCTGTACTGGAACTCAGGACTTCTGTCCTTTAGGGGTGCTGTCTATAGACTATATGTGTGCTGACTCTTACTACTACCCCTCCTTACTTTATCATTCTGTTCCTTTGACCACCCTTTCATTCTTTGTTCATTCTATAGTCTCTTACCCTTTGTCCATCCCTTCATTCTTTGTACCTTTATCTTTGACCTTCCTTTCTTCATTCTTCATGACTTATCATTCTTAGTGGCTCATACATCATGAAAAAGTTGCAACAAATGTATTTAATAATAGCAAAAGTAAACTATTTAAATTATTTCATAAGCATTACATTCTAAAATAATACTTATATTTTACTTGTAATGTAATTATAATGCTTGTATATAAATGTAAGAAATATACAAAGTTTCTATTAAACTACAAACATGTTTTAGAGCAAGTAAGCTTACTAATAGTATTTTTACAACATTACATGTGAGGTACAAGTACTCAACTCTTATTATAATCTGTTAAAATTATATTATAAGATATCTACAATAATAGTTGATAGATTATAATAGTTATAAAAATATTGTATTGTGCTTGTAAGTTGATTATAATACTTTTAGTAAGATAATATGCAATTATATATATTAATATTGTTAACAATCACCCTGTTAGACTTATAATATAATTTAGTTTTACTTTTAAACTGTATATCGAAGTGCTTACATAATTGAGTACCGAAGATCAAGAGCATATAATGACGCACTTGCTCTCGTCACTCCTTTCCCTCCTACCTCCACCATCTCCGCTATGTCGTCGCTTTTATCCTCTCCAGTCCAGTACTCTGC